AATACAAACCTGGTCATAAGTTAATGGTGGCAAGTCGTCCCCACAAACTGCTTTTTGTTCTGCATAGCACTGTTCCTGTATCGATTTGTCTCTGGCTATGAAGAAGCCAAGCCAAGCACTCGTGGTGGAGGAAGTGTGCTGCCCTGCCAGAAGCAACCCAATGAGCATTCCAGCAATTTCATCATCCGTCAGCGGACGGCCATCCCTAGGTTGAAAGAGAAACAACTTCATTTGATCCGTTTTACAGTTACAGTAGCATTTATAATTTCTTCCAATGTACTACTTTCTCCTTCTTCTCTTTTGTTGCCTACCCTAAATGGAGCACCGAAAGATCTTGGGGTAGGGAGACAGGAGAACAGAGGGAGACAGACTCTCTAGGAGCCCTAAAGAAAATAATTACTGAACAGGCAGCAAAGAGAAAGGAAGTAACCTCATGACCATTGATGAAAATCTCAGAAATCTGAATAACCATTTACAAGTAAAGTTTTTAAGCTGTTTTTAAGAATACAGCTAGGATCAATTACTGGCAACAAAACCAATTCAGAACATGAGGGAATATTTCTTACATATTCTTACATATATCTTATTTATTTATATTTCTTCTATATAGGTAGATATTTTTAAATTAAGAGCTCAAAGCTAAAGTAAAACATTTATAAATAAGAAGTCTTCAAACCCTTGGCTTACTTGTATGAAACATCAAGTAGAGTTTGGAGCATGTCATCCTCCTTTTCCTCAGACATCCGACGTTTCTGGATAACCTTGTAGAAAATATTCTTTATTTCTTTGTGTGCTCGATCTCGACGTCTGTGATTCAAAGCACTTTTATTAGCAACTTTGCACAAAGTAACACATAAAATGCTTACGAGGATTTATTGGGACGTCTAGGTTAGCTTACGAGCAAGCAATAGGGAGAAAAAAAGAAAAACCCAAACAGGTTTAGATGAAAATGCTCAAGTTGCTTCATCTGTTATTTCTGGTACCTGAAGCTTGGCAGAGGTAGCCAACCTGGCAGAAGCCAGGCAGCATGAGTAAAACCCCCATCCAAATCGGCATACAGCTGAGCCACCTTCTCATTCAGCAAGCCTCGTATTTCTTTCCCATGTAAGCAATGACTTGCTGTCAAAATGATAAGTTCTGAAAGGGCTTCAAACAGGTCTGAGGAAAGATTTGAAAAATGTTAGTGAAGATACATTTCAGGCAAGATAATGTGTTTTACATGTTATTCTTTATTTTGTAGAAGAGAAAAATAAGTAACTGCACACAGATTAAATAGAGTTTTTGATTGTTTTACTAGGAGAACGAAGCATCTAATTTTAGATTTCTATGTGTCTATCAGGTCTCTCATCAAACAACTTTTAAATTAGATCACTCTTTTCAACAACTTTTTTCCACAGTATTTCTTTCTAGAAATTTTTCTATTAGAGCTAGTAATCCTCCCAAAGTAAGCCATGATGCACACACTCAGTCCTTAATAAATGTAAAAAGTCATACAAAAACTTAACTTTGGAATCCAAATCCATGGGAAACCAGTTAGCTTTACTCTTCACTGAATTATTTTTATATAATAACATTTATATATTTAGATATAAAGTTATA